CTTTTAAAAACTCCCCCCCAAGAAAAACCCTGAATTGTATTGAAAAAAAGAGTTTTGTTTTGAAATACCATGCATCGTTCATTTACCGTTTGTCATTATGTAACAGTTCCTTAACTATCGTTGTGGTTCCAACGGTGACTTGCGATGTCGTCGAACCTGAATCTTTGTCTAGTATCATCCTTAGATCGCTCGTGCCGCTTGATAACACATATGCTCTTAATGTACCCGAATTTATTAACTTGTTTTAATGATTCATTTGGTAACAATTTGATTCCAACACGCACGATACACCAGATATGAACTGTTGATGCAGTGCGCCGTTTCTGCAAAGTAACCATTCACCACAACAGTTTTAAATGTTCTAGAAATGACGCCGAGATGCTTTATGGTTAATTGTCTTGACATTATAAACTATTGTCCTTTCTGGTGTTTATATTTGTTTGAATTACAATACTAACTTTTTTTAGGCCTTGTGCAATTGCGTAATTACGTAAAAAAGATAACAAATGAATTGCAAGCGACCAAAAATACTCGTTTTACCAACGTCTTAATACCTCATCGCCAATCGTTAAATCATTTAACATAAACAACAATCAGCTACTTTACAATGTTGTCACATTTATTCCCTAGATTGTTATAAGATCTTATCCAGATGCCAATTTCATCACATTTAACAAGTCTGAAAATAAGATATTACGGAGGGTCGTATATATATATTCAATACAGAAAATTAAAGGGACTAGTATGTATCGGTTTTTCTATCGTTTCTAGTAGAATAACACATAAGCACATTATGGTGACCGGAAATGTGTAGTTGTCAAACAAATTTAAGGAACTTTTAGATTCGCATTGTTATTGTCTGTGCATAATATATGTACACTATATGGATCAGATTGAAATAAGAATCATTGTTGTCCAGATATTTGCCGTCAGTAAAAAATATTCAGTCTTTTATTCACTTTGACTATAAAATGAAGTGTTTCCATACATTGGTGCCTTAGTCTGAACATAACATCAATATAAATACAACAAATGTGCCTTTGAATTTGAGGGCACTGCACTATATATGAGAGCACTACACTATAAAATAGATGAATCAGGTGGCACTACACTATAAATAGATTAATCTGAGGGAACAGCACTATAAAATAGATGAATCTGAGGGCACTGCACTATAAAATAGATGAATCTGAGGGCACTACACTATAAATTGATGAATCGGAGGGAACAACACTATAAGATAGATGAATCTGAGGGCACTACAATATAAATAGATGAATATGAGGGCAGGCACTGCACTATAAAATTGATGAATCTGAGGGCACTGTACTATAAAATACAGATCTTACTCAAATACATTTCAAGTGTAATCAATGACATAATAGTGATGGATTGCAAATGCGTGTAAACACAAACATGACAAAACAGTTGCCATATTCATAAATAAAAGGTTGTCTACGAATTTTTACATTGTAAAAAACTGATCGTTCTAGACTGTTGTCATCAGTACATTGTCATTATATTTCCAACGGTCGACTCCATTAAATATTTGCTTACATCGAGGCTGGTCTCCATTCGGTCATTACATTTTATCTACTCGTTGTTTTGATCGGTTGTCATGCGTTATTTTATATCTGTGTAAACGGGTTATTGGTGATGGACAAGTTTAGCAAACCGATCATCTATTATTAAAACCGATGAAATCCAAAAATATAAGGATGGTCGATCCCAAATCTGTCTTTGCCATTCCAAGCTTTTAACTGTTTTGATCGTTTGTCAATGCGTCAGTTTATTTCTCTTTACTTTGCAATCGTTCACTGATGATGAAAAAGTGTTAATCAGTAAAACTGACAGATTTTTTATCCTAAAAGTTTAGGAATTCCGAAATCAGTCATCGATCGCAAGCATTCGGCATCAAATTATTAAAAGCAAAACTTTCATCTGTAACGTAGGCTTAAATGTTAAAGTTTTGTTTCTTTCTGTGAAGAATATATGTTTTAGAACCCATATTGTTTTTGTTTCCTGTAGTCAGTCAATTCATCAATTAATTAATCAATCAATCAAAAAATCATCAAATTATCAACTAAGGAATGTGTAACAAATACAAACTATACAATGGATGATTTGTTTGATACGCTTTAAGTTTTTTGAAGCTTGATATTAATCTGCAAACACAAACGGGGTTATATGATAACCTTTTAGTTGATTGAAAAGTTGAAAGATATGTAAATTTTAAGCTCAAATACTTTTTTCAATTGTTTTAAAAGTTACAAAGATCCTAACTCCAAAGGATTTAGAACCGTTTTTGCATAAGCACATTTGATAAATATAACATTTCTTTAAATAAAATGGTTAAAAATTGTGTAAAACATACAACTTTGGTTTCAAATGTTTTTATTAATAACATTACTTATTAGTGAATTAATTTTAAAATATTTCAATTAAAACTGAAAATTCATAAAATACCATTTTCTCAAAATAATGCTAACTAACGTTAGGTACCATTTTGCACTGACCCCTTCATATTATTATCGGTAATTTTTCTCCGGTTAAAGTTTTCATTCACCAGTTGCAGCAGATACGTTTTAAACTCTTTCTTTTCTACACTTTTTGTCCATGAAACAATCACCACTTGATTTATCTTCATAATTACCCCTAAGAAAAAACAAACACCGCAATAAAGCAATTAATTATACATGATTGTATAAATGTACGAAAAAAAACCAGACAGATCATTGTCAAGTCGTAATGAATATCATTCTGTTTGCTGGGTACTGATTATCAAAACTGAGAAAATCAATAAAAAATTAAATAAAGCTATCACAGTTTCCCACCGGATTTAATAATGACCAGTGCATGTGACAGGTATAATACAATAGTGGCAAAAAAACAACAACAGCAAAATAACAACAAGAGGGTCATAATGGCCCTTAGTCGCCCACCAGAAACAACTGCTTTTCAGTGTTGGAATTATCCATTGTCAACATTTTCGAATATTAAATTTGAGCATAGAATATTTTTAAACAAAAATTTGAAGAAATGCAATGACCTTGATAAAAGACTACCTAAGAATGCTATAAATTCTGTTGATCATATATCAATTATTTCAGTAGGAAATGACGTTCAACGGTTTTTCTATTTTAAGCTTTAGTGGCCTCTATAAGAGGCTAATCAAATTAATATGAGCAAACTTGATAAAAGACTACATAAGAATGCTACAGACAAAGTGTGGTGATCATCCACAATTAGTTCAATAGAAATAGACGTTTACAGGTATTTCTTTTTTTTAGCTTTTGTGGCCCCTAAAAGGGGCCAATCAAATAAATATGAGCAAATTTGATAAAAGACTACCAAAGAATACAGACAAAGTTGGGTGATCATCAATCAATTAGTTCTGTAGAAGAAGATGTTTAAAGGTTTTTTCTATTTTTAGCCCTAGAGATCTCTAAAAGGGGCCAACCAAGTTAATATGAGCAAACGTGATAAAAGACTACCAAAGAATGCTACATACAAGGTTTGTAAATTCAATCATTTATTTGTTTTCTTTTAGTTCCTTATCAGTTACTAATTATGTATTCTTATGTCGTGGTTTGCCTGCCCGTGCTCTGCCTTATGCCCTTTCATAATTTTGTTTGGGGTCCTCCTGGGCTCCTTGCCACTGACGCTTGTTACTGGGTCGGGTGGGGGCTGCGTTCATTGAACGCCGCCTTTCCTTGTTGATCTTGTCTATCATATTTTTTGGTGATCATCCATCAATTAGTGTTGTGGAAGATTTTTAAAGTTTTTTTCTATTTTTAGCCCTGTTGAGCCCTAAAAGGGGCCAATTCAAAGGTCATGAGCAAATTCAAGTGTGACTGTCACAATTATGCTACAGATCAAATTTGAAGTAAAACTGCCCAGCAGTTTCAGAGAAGAAGACGATTATTGACGCATGACGACGGACGAATGAGCATCCCCCTTTGATACTAATAGCTCACCCTGAATCTACGGTTCTGGTGAGCTAATACAAACAAACAACACCTTGCATGCACATAGTTACAAAGTATCATCTTGCTTCAAAAGCTGTACATATTTCGATTTTTTTGTTGTTGCAAAAATATGAAAATTAGGCTATGGGAAAGTAATTGGATTTATTATTTTTTACTTTCTCATTAAACAATATTCCCATTTGAAATAATACATGTAATGTAAAAAAAGCATTTTAATACAAATTATCTTTTTTGCAAGAGAATAGCCAAATAATCAACAAGAATAACTTATTATTGTCAAAACCAGGCATCTACAATGTAAAATATTTCATAAAATTATACCATTTCAGATGCATAATTTACTATTAATGTAATTAATTAAGAATGTCACCATGTGCTGTTTTTAAATCAAGATTCAAAGTTATCTCACGAAAATGCTTACTAGATACTATCCTAGATAAAACATAATGTTTATCATGCAAATTCTTTTCTATTCTATTGACATAATATGAAATTGACCATTAAACAATCAAAATCTTATAGAATCATTCCTGAAAACCTTAGAAAAAACATAGAAACGTTTTAAACATGATATACGATAAGTGAATTTAATAAGAAAATAATAATTATGACGAAAGAGAACAGCAACAACACCTCGCATTTTGTAAAACAGATATAAACAACTGTCCGTTTGTGTATATTTAGTTCAGTAATATACCCAACAAAATATCTTATCTTGTCATTGTGTCCACACAGAAACTTGAGTTGTAATCCTATTACTTTTAAGCAATCCCTTAAAGGCGTATGAACATGAAAACACTTAATATCAAGATAGAAAGTCTCCCTATATTAAAAGAAAAAAAATGTATATCAATTTCTTACTTTAACGAAATCTGTGTCGGTGATGCGTAAAATATAATCAAAACAAATCAAAACTTTTACGACATATTTATCGTCACGGAATAATTAAACTTAAATACTGAAATACTGTCTGAAGTAATAATTCTGGTTCATCTAGTGCTTAATATCAACAAATATTAATTTAGAACTATAAAAAGGTTTAAATCTATCTGTGAACCAGCGAGCCAGAGAACGTGCTCCAGAAGTTATATGATGACGAGGAGTACTCATACAGTTCGCCAGATGATGATGATCCAAATAGGCATTTGACGTAAATCTGTTCGCCGCCGCTTAGAACAACTAGAGCGTCAGCAGTATAACATGAATCTGCAACAGAGTCGTACACTCGTCCAGACGTGTACACTGTATCGTCAACCATTATACCATAATACATGCTATTTTTATTCTTTATACAAAGATGAATCATAAATATATATGTTCCGCTCACTGGTGCTGTAAATATTCCCGTTTTATTGTTGTATGCTCCACCTTTATTTAACATATTCTTCGCGAAGACAATGATCTGTCCTGTTTCAAGGCTTAAGTCCGTGGGTCCGCCTGCTTTAAACGCTATCGTGTCCGTGAAAAACATAGCTGAAATATAAAAATTATTATAAAAAAAAAATCACGAATAAAACAAATAACAAAATGAAAATATAAATTAAAGGTATCTAATGTAATAAGTAACCGTATAATAACATAATATACATTTTGGTTACTTGAACCTGGTTAGGTTTTGGTTCTTGTTTTAAAAACATATGATTTGGAATTATATTTGACTTGTTCTGTACAATATATAATGCTTTAATTTGAACTCGGAATATTGAGTATGTTGCTAATGCATAACTTAATCAAACAACTCAGGTTTTCTTGTTTTGATCTTCTCTTTTTATTCAAATGATTGTAATTTATGTGCGTTATCTGTACATAGTTTTCATAAAGAAGCAACACGTTATGACGTTTATTTGCGAAATTCAACCTTAAAACATAAGAGAAAAAAGGAAAACTAGTCCAGACAGTTTTCTTAAAGTTTGAATTTATTGATAAAATAAATATTGCAAAAATATATCAAAAAATTGGATTGGGAGGCGGGGGGTTGTCATTGTATCTTTTGCATTATAGCTTGCGACAGTTAAAGAGTTTTCTGCTATTAAAGGTGATCTTAAATATACAAAACTCTTTTTCGGAGGCAGATATGTAGAAGAAAGGATCCTGGTGATCCACATGTATATTGTTTTGTTTGACTTTTTTCATTTAATGTTTCTTTAATTATGTAAAAATGAAGAAAATTCTCTGCTTTAGTTTACAATTTCCATATTTGCGCTTATAAAATGCGTTTCAACCGGAAACGTCTTTTAACAGTGATAATGGTAACAGTTTATGTTTAAACAATAATAACAAGATATCATATCAAAAATAAATCATAATCATAATGAGTAATTTTTACATTTTCATTTTCAAAAATTTGTTTTGTTTTAAATGAAACAACGTTAAATAAGACGTGCCGTGCAACAGTTTAAAGATTTTTTCTGCTTAAAGATGACCAAAGGGCCAAGAAATCACTTTTGGGGGTAGAAAACTAAAAAAGTACAGTGACCCACAATTCATTTAATTATTTGATTTTCAATTCCTTTCAAAGTTTTGTTTTATCATGTAAAATTAAGAATTTCAAAATATCTGCGCTAGTTAAAATTTGTCTCTTTCTAAATTATGCAAAAATTGGGAAAATTATCTGCTTTAGTTTACAATTTTTATTTAGCCTTATCAAAAATGCACTTCAATTAACGGTGATCATAGTTTAATTTTGCAGTGTTAGGCAACAACAAAAACAACAACAAAAAATAAATAAAAAATAAAAATAATAATAATATCCAACCTTTTAAATCAGTAATATCGTTCATTCGCTCTTCCATTTCCTTAGCATAGTTCGTTTGCAATTCAATGTTATCGTTTTTCATTTTCGTCCTTTCTATTTTTAACTCCTCTAGCACATTGATCACATTTTGGTTCGTTTTAGTTATACGTTTTTCAATCTCTTCAACTTTCACTTCCATTCTTATCATTTTCTCGAGAAGTTGTTCTTCATAATGGAACCGAGAGCATCTGGGTTCGGCTGCAAAAGACAGACTTTGAGTAATTGCTAAGAAAATTATCGGAATTAAAAGATACATAATAAAAATAAATGAAAACTTACAGCGAAACACGAAGAAAATGCGCGCACAAGGCCAGTTTCAAAAATATATAGCCAACTCATTCAATCAACGCATGCGCAAATACATAGTATACACGAATTATATGAATCTACCCAAAAAGGTTATGAAATACAATCCTGACTTGCTTCTTATATTAGAATACATAGGATGGTGGTTCCGCGCTTAATTTCGTCTCTATAGAGCATTTCCTAAAACTTTTTCGCAATCAAGATTTCTTTCTATTTTTTGCTCTTAATGTCATTCCTCCATCTGTAAATACACAGAAATCTCGCTGTTATTTCATTTTGTTTCGATAATCAACTTTATTTTCTGTGTTCAGATGAATTCTCGCATATTGTTTAGCCATATAAAAATTCAGTAAGGATTATACTTGTAGAGCACAATTAGTGAGTTTATCATATTGTTTTATGCAAATATTATAATGTAGCTGTTAGGAAATGTAATTCACAAGGCTTTAACAGGTTTCCTCGCTGAAAATTGTACCAGATTTGGAATATACATGTACCTTTCAACGTATAGATCATGACAAGCTAAATGTCGTTGCGAAATATATTTTCAAGTCAACATTAAAATTTAAAGCATTCAGCATTCAAAATGAAACAAACATTTATAACTTCTAAACTGTTTGTATTCCTTAATACAGTTAATATTGCCGCAGTTCTGGGATTAAGTGTTCTGCAGGTTTGTATTGAATTATGTATCATTTAGTTGGTGGTCTTTACTGAAGTGAAGACTTCTCGACAAACATTTATAATTATTAAGATGGCGCCCATACACCTGAAATAAACATGTTCCCTGCTGTTCAGTTAATGTATCTGGATGCCTGAATTTGCATTATCTGAGCCGAGAAAATCCATTAAGAAAGCAATTAAATATGACAGCTTCTAAGCTGACTTTATTATGACTAACGCATAACGCAATGGAGATAAAACAACTAACAACAAACATCAGCTGCGTTCAATTGCTGAGACTTTGTCGTATTTTGGTTGTCACATAATAAAGAACGAGACCATTAAAAAGTGTTTGTATTTCATAAGTTTCTATAAAATTAAATGATTGTTATAAATGAAACACATTGTACCTTACCTTAACCAAATCGAAGTTGAGTGATAGAATCTCCCTGACTTAGAAAACATGCAAGTAGGTGGTACATGTTTCACCTACCCACAAACAACAACAACAATAAAACAAAAACAAAAACGATAACATAAAAATGAAAAAAGAATCTTAAGTAACTTTCTGAAAAGACATTTCATTCTTACAAAGTGCTGATTTCACATCTATAATTTCTCATACTTGTCATGCAATATCACGATGTTGTGTTACAATTCATTTGATTCTGTTACCATGGTCAAAGATCATCTTGTCTTTCATCTTAATTGGATTATAGCATCTAATTATCTTCTCCAGACATCTTATTTGTGATGCATGTGTCACACATGATAAGAGGTTTGCACAGTGTCTGATTCTGTGTATTTTTAAATGGAGATTGACTTAGGACAATCTGTACAACACACGAGGCGACTTTTTCAATTTTTCACACTTATAAAGGTTCTTTAAAGGAACACCAAGGATTTTTTTAAATGACCCGACTTGAACTATATTTTAAGAGGTCTTAACATATTTGTCGATTATTTCCTCATCCCGTTTTACCATAATAATAATGTAATTGCACAAAAAGACCCAAAATAAAAAGTATTACACTCCAACTATTTTTCTTGCGTTAATATAAGTCTGCTTATTGTATCTACTCATTTTCATATACGATAAACTTCCCGCACAGTTATGTACAATTATAAAACATCAACAGACAATAAAATGAGTATTACATATTGCCATCTATAAAACATTGGTGCAAGTACAGAGTACGTGTGGTTTTACAAATGAATATGTAAACCTCAAACAGTGCTTCATCTTTAACGACACGTGTATCACGTATATTGTTTACATAATTTTGTTACGTGATAACCTAATGACAGTATTGTGATGCTTCAAACAATAATGTACCCATGTATCCTATGATAATTATTCTCAAAAAGTGAGATTTTCTCAAACATAATTTTTAGAATTCGTGATCAGATGCGTTGCATTTTAGTAAATAGCAGGTCATTAAACAAGTGTTGCTCTGTCTCCCTTTAGGACATTGAGTACTGTTGTTATGGTCATTGGGTTAACTTTTATATGTTTCTACATGATCAGTTTGGTGTTTTACTTATTTAATCTTTTGTAACGATAACAACTGTTAGAATTTCAATTGGCGGGGATTCATTTTATTTACACTGTGTCGTTTAAGGGAACATGATGGGGCTACGAGTGAGGTTTGGTGCACCATAAACCGGTTTAAACTCCCTAGCAGTACTTGTGCTGCTGACCGTTCCAAGGCGGCGCCCCTCTGTGCTCCTCATATATGTCTATATTGTTTCATGCTGTTTTGGTGACACTTTTGCTTGTGTCCCTGATTGTTTTTTCGTCTACCGTAGGTATCTTCCCCTTTGCCCCTAGTCTTATTTCTTTAACCCCTCCCCCATTTCCCCGGGTCTCCTGTCCCCTACACCTGTGCCCTTTATTTGTTTTCTTTGAATTCTTTATCAGATACAAAAAAATTATCATTTTAGTGATTAGCCTGTCCGTGCTCTGCCTTGTGCCCTGTCATGTTTTTGTTTGTGGTCCGCCTGGGCTCCTTGCCATTTGTTCTTGTTGCTGGGTCGTGTGGGGTTGCGTATATTGAACGACGCCTTTCCTTGTTGATCTTGTTTATCATATTCCATACTATATGTATTAAATATAACAGCATGAAGCAAGCTATATACTTTTTTTCTGTTTCACATTATTCAATTATTCAACATATCTTATGCAGAAACCCCTAAAATGCAATATTGCAATTGTTACATACTTGAAAATACAGCGAAAAATATAATAGCAGCTTGACCTCGCAACATTATACAAAACTGTCCAATGCCTTATTTGGCTTTGTTCAAACATCAGAAGGAAAAGCAGCACCGGTTATTATGAGTATCGACACATGTTCCGGTCATACTAACACATGGGCAACAACCAACACGGGCAAACATATTATATTAACAGATAACACGTGATGGTTCTGGTTCTTCCATTAAAATAACAACGTCATTGTTATAATTTGTCTTTTGTTTTCGTTCAAACAGTTAATCAAAGAAACGGACAAAGGTTCTCTTCACATGTCCATATATCTCTTTTTACAAAAAACGATCTTTGAAAGCTTCTTCCCAAACATGGCTATTGTGATTTTAGATCTATATTTTTTTTAATCCACGGGTATAAATGAAATGTACGCTGTAGTAATGTATTTGTTTAGAATTTATTTAAAATGACACAATATTAAATTCATGTAATACGATGCAAATAAATTTCATTTGTAGTTTTTAATTGCCTAAGAGTCAAATAATGCGGGTAAAGATATTTTACGATGTATATTTGTAAGTGCTCGAAACTTAAGTAAGCAATGATACGTTACCATTAACGTATACTTTTAACTTATTCTCGCAACGTGAATAACCTGTTATGATGACGAGTAACTTGCTGCTGGATGTTTAAATATTTTTACATATGCCTTTGGCAGGATTGATTTAATAGGAATTACACACGTAAGTTGTCCTGTATCAAACCACGAATAGCAACACTATTATTTCTGTTTCTTGAAATCACTTAGCTATCAATAATAATTTTGGCAAAAGGCTTAGCAGTACTTGTTGAACACACCCTTTTCTAAAAAAAAGGAATAAATGGCATGCTCGTTTACCAATTGGTACATAAAAAATTGGCCGGCGTCATTAACGGAAGTTAAAACACCGTTTAAGTTTCTAAATACGCATTTTATATAAAGATGATGTAATATTGACGGCTGAATATGCTTTTTGGCTAATTCCCACATGGCAAATTTATGTAATTATAAGTGCGTTCTTAATTAAAAACAGTTAAGTATTTTTCTTGATGTTTGAAAAATAGCATTTACCCGCTACCGTATGTCAGTCTGCTTTTAATTAAGCGATTGTCGGTTATCAAAAGCGGTTGACAGAATAAAGATGCTTGAGATTAAAACTCAAATGGACATTTTCTTTCTTTTAGATATTTATATGTTTTTCAATCTGATTATCATTTCAACTCCTGTCATCAAGGTATTTTATAAAGTGAAAACCGGAATCTATAAAAAATATTGCAAGCTTAGCTTGATTGAGCCTTTCCTGAACAGTAGATAGATAGAGTAAGCTATCGTCTATGCCCCATAGCAACGACCGTGCTGTTGCGGTAATCATTGAGTATCATTACAAAATTTTCAATATAAAACGACAAATTAAATATGCAGTAAATGTATAGATTTTGTCGACTAATGTTATAATGTATTTTTATTTCGTTTTTTTTTTCTTCTGTTGAAAAAAATAAAAGAAGTTCGTTGGTCTTCTTACCTACCATAATGCAAACAATTATCACAAAATATGAGACTTTGTGTCTTCTAATCATTCTTAGCTCCTTATCTACAAAAGACAAATGATGTTTGTTAACAATCAATGACTTTAGTTTAGATAATTTCCCATCACGAGATACCGTAACAGCACTGACAAATTATTATTGTTTTGACTTGGAAAATCAATAATTGCACTTCATTAAGAAAATAAATGCATGGTCAAGAAACAAAAATGACAAAAGGTAGTTTCTTAGGTTGGTTTGATGATCAATGATGAAACTGACAAATCACCAAGGACGACAAACATTTTTTATGCAACCTTGATATTGATTTGCTTTTCAGTGTATTATTATATGAGATTTTCATTGTCCTCCATGATAAAGAAAGGTTATTCTGGGACATTTTAGGATACAATGTTGTAAAAAAATCTTGTAAAATTTGTAATAGTAAAATTATTTTTTTAAGTTTACATTGTCTGCTCAAATAGTTGATGTGCATATCTTTCACAAACAACTCTATGTTCATCTCATATGCAA